GGGAGGTCTGGGCCTCCCTTCTGAAGCTGCTGCCCCCGCGACCCGACCCCGGATAGGCGGAAGAAAATGGATGGATGGATGGATGGATGGATACCACATGCGAGTGACCAAAGTTCGGCCCGCCAATTGGTTCATTCATCTCTTCAGCCCAAACTCCCAGTTTTCTACTTTAATTATTTTAAGTTCTTTTAGTTAAACATAGACATGTTTAGTTTCTACAGAAATCTCAGAATCTTGGCTAGAAGCTGGTAAAAACCATTTATATAAACACACAAAGACAGTTAAAACTACAAGTAGTTGAAAATAAAATGATGAAAGTGAAAATAAAATTGGTTTAAAAATTTGGCAAGTCAGAGAGTCAAAATATTTGTGTCAAACAGGAGGTATAATGTGTTCTTTTTGATAATGTTTAATTATCACTACTTTTATAGGGTTCTGTATGTTGTATTCATGATTAAATGCAGCAAAATAAACTAATTCAAAGGTAACAGATTTTTGTAATACTTGGTTTATTTACATAATAACTTTAGTTGCTGGATGTTCGGCCCCTCAGCTGTTGACCTGCAGTAACTGTGGCCCCCGGCGCAATTTGGTTGAATAGCCCTGCCATACTGGATCTAACATTCAGTTAATCACAAATCTCCCTTCAGTTACGAAGAAATAATCCACAAAACACTATAATTTCCCTACTGTTTGTGCTAAATTTAGATAAAATTTTAAACCTATTTAACAGAAGGTAACTCAGCCCAATAGAATGATTACAGACACATCTAAACAGTTTATTTGCTCTCACTACATGATTAGCACCATTAACCCTTTCATGTACAATTTGAATAAGAAAAAGGTAGTAAATAATGACGCTTTAACCCCAGTGAGTATAGTTATTAAATTATTTTACAACTATAAGGAAAAGATCTCTCTTGGGGAACATAAATAACCCTGCAGGAGCTTTAGGGCGGAGGAGGGTTTGATTCTGGTTGATCCTGTGATTGTTTAGTATCTTTCTGCTCTGACTGGATTCCTGGGTGGGGGGTGTAGCGCAGGTACTTCTTGCCGGAGGGCAGCTCTTTGGAGTAGACCCCAGCTGGGAACATGGATGCAGCCTCTTCCTCGGGGATGCTGGGAGGCACCATCACACACACTCCAGGCTGGAGGCAGATGCAAAATCAAACCCAAGTGGCTAAAATAATAACAATATTTAAAATAAGAGCTACCTTCCAGTCGGCGGGTGTGGCCACTCGTATCCCAGCTGTGAGCTGAAGGGAGTCGATCACTCGCAGGATCTCGTCAAAGTTGCGTCCTGTGGTGGCCGGGTACAGTATAGACAGTTTCAGCTTTTTGTCGGGGCCTATAATGAACACCTACACAATACAGAAAGCAAGATGAACACCGAGAAGCTTGAAACCTTCACCTCTGAAGGTTATGACTTAGAGGTGGTAAAAATGTGTGATGCTCACACAGCGGGCGGTGAGAGGCAGGCCGTCTTTGTCCTTCTCATCGGGGTCCAGCATGCCCAATGTGACGGCCAGCTCCCGCTTCCTGTCTGCTATGATTGGGAAAGGCAGCGTGCAGTTCCCAGAGTCATTGCAGTTATAAGCAAGGATGTCCTAATCAGGAGGAGGAGAAACAAAACTGTTCTTTTGGAGCTTAAACCCTGAATTTGGAACAAGTTTATAAAGTGCTGTGATTCACACATACAGTATGTGTCATCGCTAATAAAGAGCGCAGTATGAATGGGTGAGATTAGGTTGCCAGGGCAGGATCTTTATTACATAAATGTCTTCCTATTAAACAGAGGTGGTTTCAGATTGTGGCTTTTCTAAACCTACAATAATTCACACCTTTGTGCATGTGACCAAAACATGTCTTGTGAGACAGACTAAAGGCCCTGTATTGTTTTAGACAACTTATGAAATTGTTTTTCTGTTTAACTTGCTAATAAAATTTATATATTTGATCAATTTGGTAGGATTACACTATGTACATGCCTAAAAGAGGCTTCCAGTTGAATATTTTACTTCCATCTTCAACATAGATGTCTTAAAAATGTGCATAAGTTGGCATAAGTTCTCTAAAACGTTAAAGTGTGACCGCCTTAATAAAGATTCAAACAACTCTCCGATGTGAGGCTTTTAGTCTAACTTACATGTCAGTCTTGGTTAAATAGTGGAGCTTCTAGTTGAAGGTTTAAAAGCTTAGGACTACAAGATATCAGTCCAGTTATTTATTTATTTATTTATTTTTAATTTTAGACTTTTTTTGGACTGGATGACTCATAAAAGCACAAGAATCAAATTAAACAATTTTAGCAAAATAACATTTTCTATACTATTAAAACTTTTTCTAATAGGTATTATAATAATAAAAAGATCCAATATCAGCCACTTCTCAGGGTCTTAAGATAGAGAGGTTTAAGTACATCCTGGGGGTTATGTTGTCTTTGGAGTCAAATTGCAGAGGTCAGATTAATCTGTTAAAGGGATCCATGATTAGTTGTAACATTAGACTTTATTTAATAAACATATATTTTAACTGTAAAATAAAGACAGTAAAAATACTGTAGGATGTTCAATTTTTATTATTTTAAAATTAAAAGTTTAAAAATACATTACACGGACGGGGCCATTTTATTTACATGCAAAGCATTCTGGGTAAATGATGACGTGGATAGGTCCTCAGTGTGAGCGAGCTATATCCACCCTGAAGGTTAATCTTGGACAATATCTGATGATCGACTCTTTTAAATGAAACCAGAGAGCGTTGACAGAGAGGAGAAGGTAGAAATGACTCAGCCTGTAACTGAAAATATGGATGGAGGACAACAGAGCTGCTTCATGGAAGAAGAACCTCAGCTTAGCCTGTTAGCTTTAGCGTTAGCCCCGATGCTATCACCATATATATGTATTAGCTCAGCGCTACACATTCTCCTCTCGTTACTGAGGTCCTCCATCCACATGACAGAGAGGGGACCGCAACAATGACTCAGCCTGCAACTGAAAATATGGATGGACGACCTCATTTTAGCTTGTTTGTTGCGTTAGCGCTGAGCTAATAGCCTACATAAGGCAATATAGCGTTGGCACTAGTGCAAAGGCTAACAGGCTAAGATGAGGTTCTTCTTCCATGAAGCAGCTCTGTTGTCCTCCATCTATATTTTCAGTTACAGGCTGAGTCATTTCTACCTTCTCCTCTCTGTCAATGCTCTCGTTTCATTTAAGAGTCGATCGTCAGATATTGTCCAAGATTAACCTTCAGGGTGGATATAGCTCGATAGCAGCCTCGCACCGAGGACCTATCCACGTCATCATTTACCCAGAATGCTTTGTGTGTAAATAATGTAAATTGGCTCCATCCGTGTTAAAATATGTTTTTAAAAATTTACAAAACTAAACAGCCTACAGTATTTTTACAGTCTTTATGTTACAGTTAAAATACAGTATATGTTTATCAAATAAAGTCTAATGTTACAACTAATCAGGGATCCCTTTAACCTGAGGGCCTAATTAAATGAAGTACTGCTCTTGAACTCTTTGGAGTAAATTCACAAGCTTAAAGCTATCAACCACTCATTATTATCATTGTAACTGTAACTAGTTTTTAGTTTTTGAGTTTTCTCATTTCCAAAGCTGTATATCAAATAAAAAGTAACTTGATTGGAGACACAGCTGTGGTGTCAAATGAAGCTCAGAGTTGATTGGCTGATTATAGTCAATCAATCATGTGTACCACAAACGGGTGGGACATGAGGGGCCTGCCACACCTTTTGGACCCTGGAGAGTATGAGCTCAATTGGTCAAGAGGTGTCAATCAACAGAAGACAACCAATTGAATTGTTTGAACTGCCTATTAAAGTCCCTGGTAGTGTGGGTCAGGCTATGAAGAGGCAGGAAGTAACCACAAACTGGCAATGTACCGCGGGCAGTACATTGAGTGTTAAGGGGTTAAGAGGGGTTCTTGGACCGTAACTTACAGGTCATCTCACTCAGAATAGGGGAAATGAAGACCCCTCAAGGAAAGCTTTTGGAAGAGATTGTTGTTGAGGGTCTGGTGATCAAGCTTTGCTCTTGGGTTTTGAGTATAGTGTTAGCAGAGGCCAAGGCCTGGGTGTGTTGATTCCTTCCATCATAAACTGATTCTAAGAACTCAGAATGTCACCTTGTGGCAGGAAAGGAGCCGGTGCGTCACAGGAAGTCACAACAACTCAATATAAGTTTCCAGTGGGCAGGAGGGTTTCCTCTGCAGCTTTGAGCCACAGGAGAGAATCTTCTGTGTGTGTGTGCTCATGCACCAAACATCTTCTGATGAGATTCAGGCAAACTTTAATAACCGGGAGGGGATTCAGAGCCCATTCAATGCACTTGGTTTGAGTGAGGAACTGTGGACCTGCTGTTGTTGAGCGATGGAAGAAGCACCACCAATCTGAGGGATCAGGTGAAAACAACTGCCTTAGCAAGACTCACCAAGATAGTTAAAAGGTCCCTGGTGGCACCGGGAGTGGATGAGATTAGCTTTGAGATTCTGAAAAAAATCCTAAAAGCTTTGGACGGTGGTTAGCATGCCTCTTCAGCATCCCATGAAGAGCCAAGACAGCTTCTTCAAAGAGTCAGACTGGAGGTGGATGTCTCAGGTTTTAACAAGGGGGACTCAAGTGTTCAAACTTTTGGGGAATTGCACTGCTAAGACTATGGGAAAATTTTCTCTGGGTTGTTGTTTAAAAAACATAAAGGCACCAAATAACTGTCCAACTGTAGGTTCAGGACTGAAATGAGTCACGGGAGCTTATTTGTCCGGTCCACATGTGGACTGTGGACCTGAAGACAGCTCAGAACCACGTCCCCTGAGGTATTTTCCAGGAGATGGGTGCAAAGAGAGCATGGGGTGCCATAATTACCTTTGCATGTCTTTGTGTAACAAACACATGTTTTCTCTTCATAATCATGGCACTAAGCCCAGAGTAATCCAGATGTTTTTTATTGTTCTGAGTTTATCATTTCATCAGACAGTGTGTTGTAATGCTGGTGTAGGTTCTCAGTCATGGTAAATCCAAAAACTAAACTAAATATCTGGACTTCTATTCTGTGACTGAAGACATTTTGCTTATTTTTTGGCTTCCTTCGCCCCCTCTCAAACCATCTGTCTTCTGTATCCAGAGGCAATTGCTCTAAGACTGCAAGGGAAGCTCAGCTTCCCCTAAAATGTAAAAAAATTAAATTAAACAAAAAAGATCAAATATATACTGTTGTGAGTACGTCATTGACTAAATATGCGCTACAACGCGCTCAATTTTTTTCTGAATCAGCTTCTTATCACTGGTAATGACATGACTTTCCTCTCCCTCATTCCCACAGTTTCACAGTGCTCTAAACAGTCGGACGCTGAGCTTCCACAGAGTTTAATAGTGAATCAAAGACTGCAGCGAAACGAGACGAGTCATTGGATAAATGCTGGCTTTGTCCCGCCCATCGAACGCTGAGCATCTCTAGGGGTCTATGGGACAGTGGGCTGGCTCGGACGCTCAGCTTCTGCATGACGATTGGATGATCTGTCTGAGGCTGAGTTACTTTTTGATTGACAGCAAAATGAGCGAATCAGCGATCTTTTGGTGTAAACATCCGTGGGAGCAGTTTTTAGTTTTGTTTCTGTGCTGAGTTGAACCAGAGACTTTATTAATCCTCTAATTAATCCTCCTCTTAGCAGCATTTTCTTTGTTAAAAACAACCAGCAACAAATCGAGATTTTATTTCTGGTGGGTTTTTTGTAGCTGCTTATGTTTGGAGATGGACTTCTATCACTCTTTCTGACTTTCTGTTCAGCAGGTGCTGCTGAGTCCCTTCACCGTCACAAAGCACTCACAGGTGGACACACTTCACGAGTAGTCCCAGCTAGCAAGCTAGCTAGCTAGCAAGCTGCACATTAGGCAGTTTGAATGTTGTGGACCGGATTTTGGTGAAGACATTTGATAGTCTTCCTTGCGAAGAAAAACTTAGAGTTAAACAGCAGGGCTGATCAACTCCTCAGATTAATTTGATGCAAAAGGTGGGGAAAAGTAAGATTAAAAAAAACTTTTTATTGATCCCACAGTGGGAAAGTAACAGGTCTTTTCAGCTGTCCTGGTATGACAAAGTGAGCTGGCTGCTGTAAAAGACTATAGAATAATCTGGAAAATGATTATGAAAGCATTGGATCAATTAATTCCTTTAAAAACATGATCAAAGCAAAATTGTTAAAGAAATATGAAATTGTTTAATTTGTATGTCACTGTTTGAGGAGTTGAATTTTTTTTGTTTTTATTATTTGGTTTATTAATGTTTGAAATTATTATTATTTTTTGTAAATAGGAGCAGATGTTGTATGTAATGTTTTGTTTTGTTTTTAAATGAAATGAATAAATACTACAAACTAAAAAAAGATCTGTGACAGGGTCACAGATAATTTTCTTGAAAAATAACGGAGGGTAGAATTTATAACCCACACATTTTACGATGTAGGCTGAAACTGAGCTTCCTCTTCTTGAAAGACCAGCATCGGCAACTGTCTGTCTAAAATCTGAACATGTTGGTCCTCAGCAGAGTGTCCTTTACTTTTGAGCTGTAGGACAGTTGAGTCTGGTCCTGAAGAGCTGCTCTCCTCTCCTGTGTGGAGCCATGTGTCTGTGGAGACGTCTATTTCCTCCAATATAGAGACCTGAACATTTCTCACTGCCCTGAACTGATGCAACCTAAATATTCTCCATTATGACTTATAAACATGACTTTTTAAGGTCAGAACTTAATAATATCCAATAAAAATACTTATTTAAATATAAATCAATAACCTCAAATTGTAACGTTGATGTGTTTGGTTCTTTTATATTTCAGGTACACCACTTTTATACCTTAGAATTAGTTTATCAGAAATCCAGCTGAGCTTTTGATCCAGGCTAAACAAACAAACGATACATGCAGGCATGAGGTCACCTTGCTCCAGCCGTAGTGATCCTCCAAGCTGTCCAGGGATATGGCCATCAGTTTCACGTTGCGTTTGCTGAACTCATCGCTCAGCCTGGCTGCTCGGCCCAGCTCTGTGGTGCACACTGGGGTGTAGTCTTTGGGATGGGAGAACAGGATTCCCCATCTGTGGGAAACATGGGGTCAGTTATGAGTTAGAGCCTGAAGTTTTGTTTTCTGATGTTTATCGTTAGTTTGTGCTGTCTGACCGTGGACATGAACTGATGGAGGGCTCACCACACCTTGAGGGCAGCAACATTGAGTAAACAAGTAAAAGTCACAGATAGCTTTGGTTGAGGTCTTCCAATTCTTCTAACACCATGCGTGGTGGTATTTTTTAAAAAGTCATTTTATTCATAACATCATAGCAGGAAAAAGGAGTCCAGCTTTAAAGTACTGTGTGGACGTCAGAAGAGTTCTGATGTAACAAGATGGAAATCAAAGTGACTTGACTTTTGTTTTTGTCTGCAGAGACCTGAGAATCAACTCACTGAGGTTTAACACCTCAGTTTTTTTTTTGTCTTGTTTTCAGTTTGGACTGAGAAAACTCATCGGAAACGTAGCAGAACATCTTTGACTAACAAGGAAAGAAGCCCAGTCTCAGCTTATTGTTCAGGTTTGTTGTGTGAAAAAAGCCTGTGTTGCCTCAGACTTCACCCAGGTGAGGTGGAGGAAATCAAATGAGATAGGATCACTGTAGGAGCTCCACAACATGGTGCTAGATGGACAGGTGGATTTTCCCTAAAGGTTTTCTTAAAGGGGCAATATCATGTCAAATCAACTTTTTTGAGTTTTATATCATGTTATAATGTTACCCTCTCATCAAAAACATGCCCAGAGTTTTACTTTGACTCATTCATGCATGTTTGAGAAATCCTGTAGTGTCCTGAGGCAGCCAGGCAGGGGAGCAAAAACCACCGGTTGGGACTAGAACCACAGTTTGGGATCAGCTCCTCCTCTGGATTGTGTCTCCAAGCTGAGCTTCCTCATCACAGAGCACACACACACAGCCCCATGCTGAAATGGGCGGGACAGAAGCAAAAAGAGGTTCTTAAAGAGACAGAGGCCAATTTCAAGTTATTTAGAAACAGATACAGTGATCCCTCGTTTTTCGCGGGGGTTGCATTCCAAAAACAACCCGTAATAGGCGAAATCCGTGAAGTAGTTAAGCCGGTACACCGGGTTCCCACCAAATGCGTTTTGAGCAGCAAAAATGTGCCCAACGCCTTGGACGCACTGAAGCGCATTCAGTGTTGAACGCAGCAGCGGATCAACTCATGTCTGAAGAGCGAGGAACACCGGTCTGTGTTAATGACGGGTGAAATAAAGGTCAAATAAAGAAAATGGCTTTGCTTTATTTACTAAAGAGCAAGCGAACGTTGTGCACAGCAGATAATTAATTCACCAGATAATTTAGAGGCAGTTTGTTCGGTTAGTTTCACCACTCCAGGAGCTGCGAGCTGACAGACTATTTTTTTTGGCAGCGCCTGCTTCAAAACAGGAGGAAAGGAGAGTGGGAAAATAACTTATTTCTAGAGGCAGAACAGGTTGGAAGATGGTTATTTGGTGTTATTTATTGTTTTTCAAATCATCCTACAACTTTTGACATGTTGATAGCCTGTTGAGCACAGAGACTGTTTAGCCAATCAGGACGAAGAACACAATGCACTGTGGAAAAAAATGGCACAAAAAAGTAAGTGAAGCAGCGAGACCGTGAAAGGTGAACCGCGTTATAGCGAGGGATCACTGTATATGAGAAGTCAAGTTTATTTTCTATTTAAACATATAAACAGCATTTTATTAACAACTGAAGGTGACATAGTTACTTTAGAGTTTAAATATATGCCTGAGAACAGAGTTGTAAAGTAACCAAGTACAAATACTTTGTTACTGTACTTAAGTAGAATTTTTGGGTATCTGTACTTTACTTGAGTAATTTTTTTCAGCCTACTTTTTACTTCTACTTCTCACATTTTCACACAGTTATCTGTACTTTCTACTCCTTACATTTAAAAAAAGGCAAGAAGTAGAAAGTTGAAAGTACTGTACTTAAGAAGTATTTGTATTTCATGAATTATATTATTGTATTTGGCCACAGCCCTCAGATAGATTTTCATTTTGGAGAAAAGGTTTGTGCAGCCTTGATATACGTATGTAAACTGAAACAGCTGGACTAGTGCATCCTGAATTTAACATCAATTAATTATTTTAATACAACAATCATTTCTGCATTTTTGGGGAGGTCACCTCCTAATAAAAGTCATTACAGAAAATCTAACTGCTCATTTTAAATCAATACTTTTACTTTTAATACTTACGTAAGTACAAAATGTATCAGATACTTTAAGACTTTTACTCAAGTAATATTCCTAAAGGAGACTTTAACTTTTACCAAAGTAATTTTTGTAAGATACTTGTGCTTTTACTCAAGTATCACTTTGTGGTACTTTATACAACACTGCCTGAGAAACACATAATATTGTCCCTTTAAGTGATTTATACCTAACAGATTATCAGTCAAAGTGTGAATACCTTTAGACAACCAGAACTTTGAGCAGTTTTCTGCTCTGAAAATACGCCAAGGAGAAAAATTCCTACTAGACCCTCTGATCATTACTGATGTCTTCAACAGGACATATAATGCACAATCCATTTTTTAGCCATTAAATACATTTAGTTGTGGACTTGGAATCTCTAGGAGGCAAAAAAGTTTAATTTAGTTTCTCCTGGTGCTGTGTAGATATCTTACATTCTGATTGGGTCTTTTTTTTCAGTTTTCAGTGATGTTATGTGAACTATTACAACACAGCATTTGCAAAAGAACTGCTAAACAAGGCCATAGACCTCCTGCTAAACAATTTTGTTAATCTGCAGTTCTACGAGTTGATCCTCTTTATTCTGCTCAGGTTCTGGGTCAGACTCTGTCTCCAAAGGCTGGATGTACAAATCTTCCCTTGTTCACATATTTTAATTAATTTGTAAATAAAACATTACTGTGCAGCTGTGTAGTTGTTTTAATCTACAAAAATGGCCAAATGGAGTGGAGTGGACAATGATCATTGGGCGTGAGACATGGAGGGGGGCGAGGTGTGAAGTGCCTCATTTGCATTTAAAGAGACAGCCTCAAACCGAGTTGATCTGAGACACAACTCAGAAAGAAGGTGGGGCTTGTGGAGTTACAATAAAGAGGAATTCAGACCAAAGCATTGCAGTTGCACTTTATGTAGACCCAAACTGAAGGATTTAAATGTGAAAAAAGAAGGATTCAAAGCTTTTTTGTATGACCATGGAATCTTGAGGAAAATATTCCTACTGATCAGTTTGAGATGTGTTACAAGATCATTTCCAAGCATCTAGAAAATTATGTTTGTAAAATTGAACATCAACAAACTACTTAGAGCAGAGCACTGTCTGGAAAGAGAAGAGTAAAACTTTGTAGTTTTGCTGTTATCACAGCAACGTGTTTATAGAAAACAAAACCCAGGAGAAAGACTGAAACATATATCAACTGTCAGGCATGGAGGTGGAGAAGTAATGGGTTAGACCTGGGCACTTTATGGTCTTAGTCGAGTCAACAATGAGCTTCTCTGTAGATAAAAAAAAGTCTAAATTTGATCTGACAGCAGAAGTCTGAAAACTGGGTCATTAAAAAGAACAGTGGACAAACCTACAACAGAACTGATGACAAACAGAATCAAAGTGTTGCAACATGAGACCACAACCTGATTCTATCTGGTGAAATCTTGAAAAGCTGTGCAGAAATGTGTCCCGCAAACCTCCGAAAAATTAAGCAACCCTGTTACCAAGAAGTCAAAACTTTGTTGTCCCTAAAGTACAGACGTTTAGTCCATGGGCTAGGGTGGCTCACCGTGCCCCCCCCCCCCCCCCCCCCCCCACACACACACACACACACACTGAACTTGTCTGGTATTTTCATGTACCCTAGGGTCTACTCTTTAAGAAAATGCATGATAACAGGAAAAAAAGTTGGGTCTCACTGCCCCCAAGGGACCACTTTTTTGACCACACCCCTTCTCCCTTGTGACCATCAAAGTTAAGTATATACAGGAAACTTAACTGCCAATAACTTCGCTATAAACCAACCAAATTTTACAAACAAGGTATCAGCTGATTTGATTAACATGACATTTCACTGAGCAAACATGCGCTCAATGATTTCATCAAAAGGTCAAAAGTTCACAACCCCAACAGAAGATGAAAATTTTCATCTTTTATCTGAGTTTACCACACAGATCCTAAATATTCATCTTACTTAGCTTTTTCATGCACCTTAGGATCCACTTATACAGAAAAAAGTCTGTTAACAAAATTAAAGTTGTAGGTACTACTCCACATGGACCAGTTTTTGACCACATCCCTACTCATGGTGTGCACAGTTCAGAATTTACAGGATGTCAAACCTACATGTAGATTTGCTATGTCTGAATAAAATGTCATAAATCTGGTGTTAAATGATAGACATTGACGTGGTCTCTCACTTAGATGTGCTTTTGTTTATTATTTATGCAACAGATCATGTTACCAGCCAGGAGTTAAAAGTAATACATGAAAACATTGGTGAACATTCAGAAACTTCTGGTTTCAGCTGTATATACAGATAGATAAATCTGTTATGTTATTTATCTGTATATACAGCTGAAACCAGAAGATTTTCACACTGTCTGACATGAAATCAGAATAAAATTTCCTCGTTTTAGGTCACTTATGATTACCAATTTTTTATTTGTAAAATGCCAGAATAACAATTTTTTAAGGCAATTTTTATCCATTTTCTTCTGCTTATCTGGAATCAGGTCACGGGGGCAGCAGCCTAAGCAGAGAGACCCAGACTTCCCTCTCCCCACCCACTTGGGTCAGCTCATCTGGGGGAATCCCAAGGTGTTCCCAGGCCAGCCGAGAAATAGTCCCTCCAGCTTGTCCTGGGTCTTCCCTGGGCCTCCTCCCAGTGAGACGTGCCCAGACCATCTCACCAGGGAGGCGTCCAGGAGGCATCCTAAAAGGATGCCCGAGCCACCTCAACTGGCTCCTGTCGACGTGGAGGAGCAGCGGCTTTACACTGAATCCCTCCAGGGTGACTAAACTTCTCACCCTATCTCTAAGGGAGAG